TGATTGCGTATAATGTGGAGCACAATAAGAACGTTGATCTACCCAACAATTAAAGAAGCACCGATTCTCTCCATCAATGGTTAACACAACCTGTTCATCTAAAATTACATCAGTTTTATCTTTGTGTGCTGCGACAGGTGGTATTCGAATAGACATAACAAAAGATTCGGTGTGGGAGTTCTCAGGTAGAGATAGAAAAGGATCAACAAAAGTGTTGAAATAGCCATTGTAAGTATCGAAATCCTTAACAAATAAAATAGGGTGATGGTCATAATGTGATAAAAGATCATTGACATAGGCATTTTGACCAACATGCTTTGAAATTTTAAAAAGACCAGCATTACACGCTTGCAATATAACATAATCCCCAATATTAAATTCAAAGTATTGTTTATGCCAATTAACTTGAGGTTTATATAATGCTTTACTTGCTTCAAATTGTTTATTGATCTCAATATGCAAGTTATGAAAATGTGATACAACTATCTCAACTGACATAGACACACAAGCATGTGGGTGCATGGGAATAAGGTTTAGAGGTTTCAAAGGTTCACAACCAAGAATAACTTCAAAGGATTTTAGACCTAAAGACCAGTTCACAAGATCGTTATATGCAATTTGAACAATTGGAGGGATCGAGTCCCAATTTTCAAGATTTTTCTGGGCTAGAGACTGTAATAAATTGTTAGGATTTTGGTAAGCACTTTTGTTTTGACCATCAATTTGAGGTTGGTCAGTGGTGGATAATTTTGCCTTAGTATTAACCACAGGTGACCGGATTTTCCAAGGGTGACTGGTGACATCGTCAAGCTCTTTAACTTGGGTAAGGGTATGGCATATAACATGTGATCGAGAATTGTCAGAGATAAGGGGTATAGTATCCAAAGTCTTGGGAAGAGTCTGGATTCCACCTAAGGAAGTGTCCTTACTATCATCCAAGTCATCAAAATCTTCAAGTTTAGGTTCATAGACTAGATCTTCCAACGGCTCCTCTATTACATTCTTTCGTTCTTCCATGACTAAGGTTCGATTAGGACATTTAGAAAAAATGCGACCAAAGTCTTTACAGTTGACGTACAACAAATGAGAAGAAGACCTTGGAGTTTCAGAAATTCTACCCTGATTTTCCAAGATTGGAGAAATATCAGACGGGCGAGGTCCTAGAAGGGACTTAACGGGAGAAAGTGGAGCCAGTGACACCGAAGGATGATTGTCAATATGCTTTCTACCTAGAGAAGATCTTGGACTATCACGACCTTTACAATTATTTTTCCAAATAGCAGGAACATTAGACGGAGAAGGTTTTATTATAGACGTATGATGAGGCGACGCTAATGAGATGGGTGAACGACGATGACCACGCTTTTCATATGGAGTACTAATAATCAACTCATAATCTCGAGCTAAAGAGTAAGCGTGATTAAGAGTAGTGACGCCTCGAAGGAAAAGCTCGCGCTTAAAATCATCTCTCAAACCTTGGCTAAACCTACTCAAAGTCGTGCTCTAATCCTCAATTAAATGACATTTTGTTCGAAATTCCTCAAATTGCGCGATATACTCAGTCACTAATTGATTTCCTTGTTTAAGGGCATTCCATTGAGTAAGAATTTCAAAATTATCTCGTTCTCGCTCACGAATTTGATTCCTATTCCTATCCCTATCCTTACGATCGGGTCGAAAGTATTTTTTAATTACCTTGTCGACGATATTGTTTATTATGAGACACCTTAGAATTATCAATATCAATCGAATGAGGGATGTGTTTAAAATTTTTCAAACTAACAGATAGGGCCTTACTCTCTTCAAGAGTAGCGGTCATTTGAGTCTGAATAGCCGCTATTTTTCGGGTGAGTGCATCGAATTGTGAGGGGTTCATGTTTAAGGTACTAGAGCTAGAAGTGACAAGATGACCAATATGTAACTACATGCACTGTAATAGCAACTTAATGACATGCAATAGAGAGATCAACGAACAAAAAGTGCAAGTAATGGAAAATGAAAATTTGAGCTATTTTACTTTTTTTAAATTTAAATTTTGGGACTAAAATTATATACAACAAGCTAGTACTGCTGGTATATGTAAAATAATAAAGCAATGGTCAAATACTAATCAAAATCTAATCACGTAAAATAAGCATGTTAAAGTGAGATTTAACGAGGTCAATGGATCCAATTACGTGAGTTTAGATAAAAATAGATCAGCAGCAGCACACAAATTTAATTGATGTAATTTCAAAATGAAACAGTAATATAAACCAACAATAAATAAAAAGAACTTCCCTTTTGTTCGTCAAAGTAGTCAAGTCAGATCAACCAGAATAAAAGATGTATTTGTAAATAATAGAAAAGACGTTTCTTCTCTTTTTTTTTTCACTTTTTTTTTTCACCTTTTTTTTTGGAACTGCAGAAAATGATAAATAAAAAAAATAAAAAGAAGAAGAAATTTCGGGTGTGAATAGTACCCGTGAACAGTAACGATTTTTTTTTTAATACTACAGAAAGAAAATCAAAATTTTGGAATCCCGGGTGTGAACAGTACCGTGAACAGTACACGAATTTTTTTATTTTTATTTTTTTTTTGAACTAGGAGAGAAAACTGCTATCTTCCAACAAATCCTTTTCTTTTCTGCTGTTCGATAAGTTTTGGGAATTGGGAAAGAAGAAAATTTTGAGTTGTAAGAGAAAAAAACAAAAAAATATCCAAGATTTAGCTCTGATACCACTTTGATGTAGAACGAATAACAAAGAATGAAGGAGAAAGGGGGAGGAGAAGGGGGAACCGAGAGGAGAACACAGAGAGAGGGAAAACGGCTACAACCACTTTATTATTCAATCAATTCATCAACTGAAAAATAACAATGTAAAATAGGTTTAAATACTGAAGAATACTGCAAACCTAGGGCCAAGCCCAATACACAAGTCCATAAAATTAAAATAACCTAAATCGAACTAAAATAATTAAAATTGGACTAGGACGTCCTCATCAGATACTAATTTTAGTGCGGAAATATTATGAAATTCTTATAATAAGAATTGAAATAAGAAATATGCGGGAATAACTTACTTTGTATTGATCGAATAATGATTAATTGTTTGAAAAGTGTACAATGATCCTATATTTATAGGCAAAATTATTCCCTACAACTAATAGTGTTAGGAAATCAAACTAATGGAAATTATAATCCTAATCAAATAAAATATCAAAGCCCTATCACAATTACAAGAAAACTAAATAGAAAATAAACTCCTAGCAAAGATAAAACATAATTGTTGTAGGAAATTATTAATTATAGTTGTGATGTACTACATCATAAAGAAACTCTTGAAAGAGCTAAGGTCATAGCGAAACTTCCAATCAAACTCTACTGTGAAAATAAAACAATCATCAACATTTCTCTCAATCTAGTTCAACATGGCTGAATCAAGCATGTAGAAGTGTATAGACATTTTATCAAAGAAAAGATTGAAAATGGAATTATTTGTATGACGTATGTCCCTATAAAAGAGCAGACAGTAGGCATCTTCACCAAAAGACTACCTCGCCAAAATTTTGATGATTTCATTAGCAAGTTGGATATGATCTACATCTACAATCTAATTTGAAGGGGATTATAGAAATCTTGAAAATTATATCATAGCGAAACTTCCAATCAAACTCTACTGTGAAAATAAAACAATCATCAACATTTCTCTCAATCTAGTTCAACATGGCTGAATCAAGCATGTAGAAGTGTATAGACATTTTATCAAAGAAAAGATTGAAAATGGAATTATTTGTATGACGTATGTCCCTATAAAAGAGCAGACAGTAGGCATCTTCACCAAAAGACTACCTCGCCAAAATTTTGATGATTTCATTAGCAAGTTGGATATGATCTACATCTACAATCTAATTTTAAGGGGATTATAGAAATCTTGAAAATTATATGGGATGATTGTGATTGATTCTTTGTACTTATTTAGTTAGGCACATTTGTTCTTTCCCTATTTAGGAGATTATTTTCCCTTTTTTTCTCCTTCATTGTATTATAAATCAAGACCCATAAGCTTGTATCTTTCATCAAGAAATTTAGAAATCTTCTTGTGATTTCACATTCTTCATTTCAATCCCAAAATACAAATTTCCAGGTTGTCTTTCATATCCCAATTTAAATCTCCTTATATGTCCATTCAAAATCTCATTCAAGAAAAAATCTTATCTTGATAATCCCTTAATCAACCTTTCCAGAACTGTTGTTTAATCCTGTTTGTGGAGCATAAACACTAATTGAGTCTTCTACTGAAAGAAATCTAACTAATAATATCCCAGCCCATTACCCTAATGACTTCATTCTTTAAACCTGTTAAAACAATAACTTTTACCCCATTTTTTATTATTTTTCTTTTTGTGTACCATAATATATATCCCATGTTGCTGCGCTCCCTAACTCTTTTGTCCTCTTCCACCCATTTGACCTGCCCGCTATACTAACTTTCCTCCTATGCATCACATTGACTAGTTCTAAAGAGTTCCCTACTTGTTCCCAGTCTTGCAAGTTTCTGTCCTAATTCTAATTTCTTGATCTAGCTTCTTTACCTATGACCATTAGGAGGGTGTTTGGGAGATATTTTTATGTAAAAATACATTTTTGAATAGTAAATTGATGGAAAATATGTGGTTGAAAAATAAGGAAATTTTTTTGATTTACGTGTAATATTTTTTTAATAAAGAATGTGTGGTTGAAAAGAAGGGAGAGAAAAATGCATTTTGAAAAAAATGGGTACCAAACAGGCTCTAGATCTCGGGTATCCTTGCCTGCTTAGGTTTACATTGGGAAGCATCTAAGACTAATGGAATTGAATACTTCATTATTGTATAATATCTTTCCTCAAAATTTTGAATAAGTTGATTGTATTATTGCAGAACCTCATTATCTGTCAATGTTGTTATGGTTCATATAGTTTGCCCCCTTTTTGTGACTCTGAATAATATAAATATATCTTCTTTCTTTTAATTTCAGAGTTAATTATGAATTGGAACCTGGAGCAGTTGGACAGATGACTGATTTCAAAGAGTCGAACAGGCGACTTGAGTGGAGTTTGAAGAAGGTAATATCTCTTGCCGCTGCACACTGGTGATTAAAATCAGCTATTATGTGAACTTATTAAACTTCCTTGTAATTAGTGATTTATTTATTTATAATTTATTTTTTAGAAAGAAGTTGCTAATAGATGTGATATTCAACAGATTGTTGGTGGGTCTGAACACACTCTACGTGCGAAGCTAACTTGTTTTCAGGAGTCACATGGTATAGTGATAAGAGTTATTTTATACCTTGTTTCTTTTGGCGAGCTTATACTTTGGTAATCAGTATTCCACTTGTAGATCTTCCCTATAATTATGTTATTATTGCTGATACATAGGTAATATCACCAAAGAAGCTGGACCTGTGAGCATGACATTCACCATACCTATGTATAATCCGTCAAGGCTTCAGGTGAAGTTGTCATTTTGAAAACACTTCCTTAAGAAATAAAATGGGACCCATCCTTTGGAATTCTTGTGGTTACGAAAGTTCTCAAAATTGCATTTTGTTTAAGCAGTTCCTCATTTTAGCAGTCTGCCTCGCATGATCTTGGTTTGATAGTCCCTATATGATAATACCCAGAAAAGAACTTCATCTCTTGTATGTGGCATGAGCATTATTTCTATTTTGCATCTAAACGTCCACCTTCACAAGAGGGGGAAATATGTAGTTTTGCGTTGTGCATATGCCATATTTCCAAAGTGATAAGACACTGGCAATCTTCAAATTCTATCTAATGTTCCATTTCAGTCGTTTAATTTATTTCTGCTTTGACTTAGCCCTTTATAACCTGTTTTGTTTTCCTTCTATACATTTAAATGAGTATCACTTTAGCACCGGCATCACTTTAACCACCTAACCAATTTACAAGTGTCAAATTGGCATCTAATTCTTTGGGAAACTTAGTTCTATTTACTTGTAGGATAAAGCAACGAAAAGACAAGTTATTTTTTTTTCCTTTAAAAGTTTGAAGCCGCCTTTCCTAATTATGATTTGTCCTTTAATTTATATAAATTTGGTTATCACAAGATTTTTCGGTTTCAGTTGTATTACATTGTCACTAAGCTGTCCAATAGGAGGTTAAATTGATGACATGGCATGTACACGTAGAATCCAATGAAAAACGGATATCTGGACTAACATGTGTGGCAGCACTCATTTCATGAGGTTTATCCCTAGCTAAACAGGCTCTGGAATAAAGAAAAACCAGAACACAAAAATCTGACCATTCTCTCTTTCCCTATCTCGTCATGATTACAAAGTATTCTTCAAAACAACCATCAGCACTAATCTAACTATTTGATGCGAGGATAACATTTGAGTGACAGAATGAAGTTGAAAAAAACCTGTGTCTCAAGATCCTCGAGAAGTTGTTGCAGTCCAGGTAAAGCCCATTTCATCCCTTTCTTACTGTCCTTCACTCTCTACCTCCCTTTCATCCCTTCTCCCACAACCTCAGGAGGTTGTTGCGGATCCTGGCCTGGGCATAGACTCTCCCTCTTCTGACTGCGTCCCGTTCCTCGTACACCCATTTCTACCATTCACCTCTATCATATCTACATCATCCTTATTTACAACTCCGTATCACACGAGCTCTCTATACAACCTCATTGTCTACATTTCTGGTGAAAGCTTTCATTATTGAAACGTGGTAATATTTTACGTGTTATTATTACAATGAATGCAGGATGATTACATTAGAAAACTATTATTAGTTAATTAATTTAGTTTGGTCATCACCTTTCATTTTGGAGTTCGAGGTTATTATTGTGATGTAGGTTGCTGAATGGTTGGTGAGCCATTGGTAAAGTGAGATGGAGCTCCGAAGGAGGTCTTTTTTTCAATGGTGAAAGTTGATCCATTGGATTTTTTTGGATGTGGGAAGTAAGCTCTGAGGTTATGTGGTATTGTGTAAGGGAAAATTCAGTTTGGCTCATGTCACTGGGTTTCAGGGTTGTGAGTGTGGTCAGTGAACCGAGGGGGAGGTGATTGGTGAAGAGGTTGGGAGGCTGACAGTTTTGGGTTGAAATGGAAGTTGTGGGTATGGTGGATGGGCTAACAGTGGAAGGCAATAGCCTAGAAGTAGGTGGTTGGGCTAACCATTGAGTTTTGGTTGTTGTATAAGGCATGGCTGCGGGTGCTTTGGCACGTAGTGGTTAAAGACAATAAAGGCAGGAAGTGGGATTGTGTATGTAAGGTTTCGGGGTTGTAATGGAAGCCTGATTGTGATTTGTGTACTCAAAATATATAGAAGAGGTGAGTTACGTAATGAGGATACGTAATAGGTTGGGAGTCCTTGAGAAGGGAAAAATTCTGGCTGTTGCTTTTGTGGTGAAAAGGAGAGAATTAGTTTTGTTCAATTGTTTAGTTATTGAGTAGTTTTGTAACTTTGCTTAAATTATAATACCAGTTATACCCCTTCACACGTAGACAAGTCCACTTCAGCTGATTTACATTTTGAATGCCTTGTTTGCAGATCATGTAAAAAATTTAACAACCTATTGGACGGAGCATGGATATAATTGAAATGAAAAATCACCAAATTGATACAAGTCTAAAATCTCATCATAATTGAGAAAATCCATGAAGTTTGTGGGTAGAAGAAAAAGCTTAAGGTCTAAAATGATTATTTAATAAATGCTTAAGGGCTGCCAGTTTATCTACTAGCATCTTGATTTTGCTTTCGACAGTTTGAGAAGAGAAAATTTGAATGAGATGGATGACATTCATAGAGGTTTCAGACTTTTTCAGTTTTACCGTTCTTCACATGTTCTTTTATGCATTGTTGCAGGTAAAATATTTACAGATAGCGAAGAAAACCAAAACTTCCAACCCTTATCGGTGGGTGAGATATGTTACTCAGGCCAATTCTTATGTAGCTCGTATATGACAAAAGTCATGCCCCTTCCCTGTTAATGTATTAACTTGCATTCTTCAATTTCTGTTTGGCGTTAAAAGTGGTGACTATTGGCTACATTAGCATTTTCCTTCTTTTGACAACTCTCCCCTAACTTACCATAGTTGATGCCTTTGTGTGCAGCATTAGTTAATCAATAAGATTTGAACATGAACTGTGAGCAATGTAATAACCTTTTGATTGGTTGTTAAGCGATATTTTGTTCCTGGCCTACTATGTTACATAGGTCGTTGCCCTTGGATGAAATTAGTTGTAAAACTTGTATTTATGAGCTCTATAGGGTACTACGCTCAATCAATCTAAAACCAAAGTCCAATGGGTTCAAATATCAGTCGTTGTCTGGATGTGAAATTCTGGAAGCTAAAGTAGAGCTTCACTTCACATTTCAGTTTACAGGTTTGAAATTACGACTTATCATTCTGTTGTGATTGTCTCGCTCTCATTAGTCGTAGCTTGGCCTACCATGGTTTATCAACATCTAAATGAGATTGATTTATTAATCTTATAGCTTTTTTAAGTCAAGTTGATACGAAGACGTTCTGTTTGTTAAACAGTGACAAGCTTAGTTTCTAGACCACATATTCAATGTTCAGTGTAGCGCAGAGAAGATAGTGAAGTGTTGATTCCAGGTTCAGTTAAGCTTTTAATTGTAGTACGTGAAGTGTAGGTACATTTTATTAAATTGCAAGAACTCCAAGTTCTCCTGTACTATTAAATAAGTGATTTAAAGGAAGCAAGCAACGTGTTCCCATCTGGTCATTAATTTAATCCAATTTTGCAACGTGCTACTTAATTGATTTTGAATGCTCGCCTCGTTCATGTCCATTTGACCGTTAGCAAAATACATATGATTTCTTGACTGTAGTACGGGAAGCATGTTTATCTATCCGTTCAGTTAGTATGCCTTGTTAGTTATAAAACAGGTGACACAATCAATATACCTAACATGTGAAATGGGCAACGAGTTCATGGCAAACGCCACGGGACGACCTTTGTTTGTGCCGCTCTATGTTTCCACCATTCTATTTGGGCCCTTCAGTGCCTCTTTAACTTTTTTAAAGTGGAAATTACGTCACACCTTAAAAATAAGTTCTCAATTCTAAAATAAAGTTTAAAGATTTTTTATTCAAAAATTAGGTGATGATTTATTTTTAAATAATACTAATAATAATAATATAAAATTAAATTAATCTATCTACCCTACCACATCCACCCCAACTAAATTAAACTCTCAAATCCTAATTCATTTTCCTACCTATTCTCTTTCTTTACCCCTTTCTATTCACCCACTTGAAACCTCTCTATTCTGGCGTTGACGTCACTCCTCTGGCATGATGTGATCGTTGATCGTGTTCGTTGTGCATGTCAAAGCAGTATCGTTGTGCGTAGCGATGCTTTGTTGCGGCAACATCGTCAAAGTGCCTCGCTTTGAGGTGTTTCTACAGCTGTGCGCAATGCCGTCTCCCATACTGAATATAGATGGAGCGTTGTTGTCGCCTCCATTAATGTTGATTTTTTTATTCGGTCTGCTGTGGATGGTTTGCGCTGTGGATATTGGAGTTTTGGGGTGTTTGTTGGTGTTTTGCAAATGGTGGTGGTGTTGCACGTGATAGTAATGATTGTGGTGGTTTTGGCGACGGTGGTGCTAGTGGAGGTGCTATAGTTGGTAGTGGCGGTTGTTTTGGTAATGATTTTAGGTGGTGAGGTAGTGTTCTAGTAGGTGATGGCGATGGTTCAGGTGGCGGTTGTGGTAGGGATCGTGCTAGCGGGGACGCTGTAGTTGATGGTGGTGGTTTCTAGTTAGGGCGGTGATTTTGGTGTTTGTTTCGGGTGGTGACGTGGCATTCTATTGGTGTTCGTGGTGGAGTGGGGTATGGTCAAATTTTGAGTGATTGTGACAAATAAATTGATTAATTTGTAACCAGTAAATAAATATGTAACTTAAAAAATGTGATTGTAACTCATAATTTATTAAGTTGTGATCAAGAAATAACTTGTGATTAATTAATTCGATAAGTTGTGATCTATAAAAATGTTGATTTGTGATCCTAAAATAATTTGTGACCTATAAATATTTTGATTCGTGATCGAAAAATAATTTGTGATCAATTAATTTGATAATTTGTAATTAAATAATATAGAATTGTGATATTGATATATTTAATCAATAAAATATATTTTTAAGTAATATCTAAAATTTTAAACCTTGTTTCTTAATTTTGAAATGTGCCATATTAATCTCTTCAATATGAAAATTTCCCATTTTTAAATTGTGCACTTATTGTCTCAACTCAATAGAAATTATCTATAGACGCTAGAAGAACACAGATTAAGCAGCTTGATACAAGACTGATTGTATAATTATCAAAAACTAATTTCCTCTCACTTTTATTATTACTAAGTGGGTAATGTCCTCTGCTTAAACAAACGCAGAATCTTCTTCTTAGGTTTATTAGCCCTTGAGGACCCCAAAGCATAGAAAAATTATTTTTGAACTATTACACCGATATGTCATATCATGAGTCTATAGCCTATCCTTTTGCCATCTAAATAAATAGTTTCGTTGGAGACATGGGATGGCATAAACGGAAAGATTAAGAACTGGAATTTACTCTTTTATTTCAACGGGAGCATCATCAAACTTTAATTGTCTCTCTATAAGGTCATTAACTTAGCTTCAAACTTCATCACCATGTCATATTCTGTCACTTATCTTCGTTCAAACTAATGGAAATTGTCCAATTTACACATCGTAACTCATGTTTCATGGAAACGATGTGTGGCACCTTAAAAATGAAAAAAGGGAAAAGAGATTGTGACAATGTTCTCATATTAAAAGGCATGCTTTTTGTTAAAACATTTTATGACCGTGATTTAGTAGTAAGTTAGCATAACACTTAATGATTACATAGAAGATTCATGGCGGTATGATAGAGATAAAATAAAGTTTACTGACTCAATTGAGGTTTCGCCAATTGTAACCGCATATAATATGAAGTTTATCAACTTCATTTGGCACCTTTTTTCATACTGTGATGGACAGGAAAATGAAAGAAATAAAAAGAAATAATTCGTAGAATCAATTTTGCACACCAAACATGTGATTTAAATGTTAAACTTAATTATAATTCAAATTAATTAAATATTACAAATTTATTATGATTAATATGATGTAACTGAACCAATATAATTCTCACATAAATAATAAATTAAAAATCGTAATGTACTGATTTAAGTCCCTGTTTGATGGTCATTATTTGGCAAAAACTTTATTTTGAATATTGAATTTTGAGTTAAAAAGTACGAAAAAGATTTTTGGATTTACGTGCAGAATATTTTATTGCGTGGATATATAGTTGAAAATGACTATATTATCAAACAAGAGCTAAATGGACTTTATTAATATAGCCAGCGAATAAAATTCGAAAAAAGAAATAGAAATGGAATGTGTTGACCTCGAGTTTTGTTCCTCCTACATGGCCAAAGGATTTCGGGTCCACTTGTGTTCATGTAAGCTCCTTTCCTACATGCTTCGACAAACTGTTAGTCATTCGTAGCCTCTCTAGTAGTGGAGGAAGTGGTTGCGAGTACTTCGACGATCAAATTAGCCAATGGGAAGAAATATATTGAGGGTAGGACAAGCCTAAAGCACAAGTCACACAAGTGTTGAGAGCACCGGGAATGCGTATAAATATATGGATGAGATCAATCTTACCGTTTGAGAGTTAAAATTGCACTACCTGTGAGTTGGTGCTGGTGGGCTTTTATAGTTGCAAGGTTGAATCAGTGGCCATTTTGGATGAAGAAGCAAGTGAGTTCATCCTAGCAATCAAAGCATCCTATCATAGGTGTCGCGTCATATATCATAGGACCTAAAGTATTTAATATTATCTGAAAAGGTAGCCACCCTATGGCTTAAGGTTGCGTACCTAGGATGTAGGCTAACAAGACTTGACATAATGTTGCAAAAGATCGCATCAATCACTTTCAAAAGATTATTGTGCAGAAGGTTTATTGGAATTAGCGGTTATGAAAGATGCTCCTCCATGATCTGGAGGTCTCCACTTCGACCATATGGGCTTCGGCCTTTTGCATGGCGATTCGGTTGAAAGTGATGGATCGCCTCTCTATGAATGACTTGCAGATGGAGGCGCCTTGTTTTGACAAGTGTACTTTAGCATCAAGTGAAAACTTGGTTGAGGCACCTTTGCTTCATCATCTGATGAAGTAGAGTGTGGGCTTTAGTTGGGCTTCTAGATGGCTGCCATTTGGGCCTTTTCTTGAGCTTCGATGGTGAGGTGTAACAACAATCTCCTAAGTCTATATATAATTATTTATATAATGTGCGGACTTCAGAAATAGGTTCTGGCTTATATTCTGATGTGGTGTGTATCTTTCGTGAGGTGAAGTAGAGTTACCATCAAGTCCAAATATAAATATTTATAGCATGGTTGGAGTTTAGAAACATGGGATCTTTCATGGTGAGCTCTGAGGTGTTGTAGAAGCCTTTAACTTGATGAATTGTCTAAAGTGGCAGAGGTGAAGCTCTAAAATGAGCTGAAGCGTTGTTTATAGAGGCGACACTCTAAAGTGAAGCTGGAGTGATGCTTCAATTCAATGCATAGGCGATGCTCTGAAGTAAGGCTAGAGTGGGGCTTTAATTTGATACAGAAGATGCTCTTAAGTGAAGCTAAAGTGATAAGCTGGGGAATCATGATTTCTCTTGGCTGAAGTGACGTTCTTAGGGTTCGTGCTAATGATTTGATGTCTTGCGTGTTTTCAATGAATGACAGCTAGGATGGTTTGTGTTTTTGCATACATGCTTGTTGAATAATTAAATGTGTAATGATGACTTGTAGTTTTATTTTTTTGAAGTGACGCGTGATGATGCATGTGTGAATAACATGCCTAAATCCTGGTCGTTCAAAATTAAACTGTTTCAGTTTGACGCTCTAGATTATGCGGATTGTGATTTCATGGCTGACGCGTTTGGCATTGCCTATAAAAGAAAACCTTTGCCCATTTTCACTATTGCAAACTTGACTTCTCTTCAACTATTTTGGTGCTCTCCGTGTTACGACAATTTTCCCATTTTCGTTATTTTTACTGAGTTCTTGCTACTTCTCTTCCTCAAACTATCTTTTAGGTAACTCTATTTTCCATAAGTGTTTCTTTTCTGGATGTGTCTACATGTTTGCCTATTCGAAGACATG